TTTCTGGACAGGATTCGAAGGGCAACTCGAGTCCCGTGCAGAGCTCGGACGTAGAGAGGAAGTTCCAAAGTAACCCAACGAGCTCTTACACCTTCAACGTCGGTGCTGAGACCTTTGAGATTAGATTCCCAGGTGAGGATTATTACACTGGCACCAATTTAACCAAGCTGAAGAAAGATGAAGGCTCTTAATCTATTTTTTTTTTTGTTAGAAATGCGACAGGTGGGTCAAAAGAAAAAGAGGAGAGTCACCCGACGACCACAGTTTCGACAGCAGCAAACGAGCATCGGGTGAGTACATCTATAAAAAAAACCCTCTCGTTTAAAAGCTGTCTTTTTGTCGCGGTATAATGTAAACTTCGAAGTTGTTGTCATTTCAGACAAGTAACCGCGCCCATGCAGAACCTGTCTTTGGGCAAACCACAGTGGCAGTTCGAAGGCGACAGCGGAACGTGGCACCAGTTCAAACGCAGGGTAGGCCAGCTTTGGCGTCGTCGCCGAGGTCATCTCGGAGGACGCTTTCCTCTAAAACCGAGCGGTGAAAGTCAAATAAAGTGTCGATCGTTCCAACAGAGCGGCACGTCCACCGAGTGCTCCGTTACCAGCGACGAAATCGAGAGGAAGTACCAGCAGAACCCCGGCGGTGGCTTGAGCTTCAAAATGAACGGGCACTCTTACCAGCTGGATTTTAACGGTTAATTTTAATTTTAACATCTTGATAAAACACATTCAAATGGCTACATTGTGTTTAAGTATATGTTTTTTTGTTTGTTTGTTACAGCAATGATGCAGACCAACCTCCAAACCAACCGTACACGCAAGATCAGACGTGTGTGAACATTAAAGATCAGTTTTAAGAAGACTGTGCCTCATTTTAGCATTTAGTTTAAAAGCAGAGGTGTATAAAGTACTTGAAAAAAGAACTAAGTAAAAGTAACAACACTATAACAAAATAATAAAGTTACTATACTTAGTTACTATACACCTCAGTTTAAATGTCTGTTATTAATGTTGTCTGTGTGACTCGTGTTGTGTTTACATTGTCAGGTAAATCAGCAATAAGGGTGAGGTTTATCAATCTGTTCAGTAAAGTCAGGATAAATTCAATTTTGTTGTATTTTAAATAAAAAAAACTTGTTTTTTTATTGCCAGATTGAGAGTGTGAAATTATGGTTCTGGTTTCAAAATCTAATCAGTTAAATGATCATTTGCTAAATGAAATAAATATATGATGTACTGTTGACCTCAGCCTGATTTGCACATTTAAATTTTTTTTGTTTGAGAGGATATGTTTTAAAATGTTTGCGTTGTCTCAGCTTGTGTTGGTGCTAATATTCTACCGTCGTCTGGCCTGAACCAAGGCTACAGAATCGTCTTCATGGTGGAAAAGAGTAAAAAACAATGATAATAAAAAAGGATAAAGCATGTGTCTGGTTTAAAAAAAATTTTCAATAGGATGTTTTTAACCTTTTGATTTTGAAGTTTTTTGTATTTACCAACAGATTTCCAGCAGAACTATTAAATGATTGGTCTTCGTTTTGTACTATTAAAGTTCTAAAAACATGTTAAAATGCCCCCTCCCTCAGCGTCACTTACTCCTCTGAACCCGCCCCATTTTACCTCCCCTTTATGTGT